TTAACACGTTGGCTGCCGCGCGAATTTTACGTGACTTGCCCAAGGCGCCAACATGAATTTTTCATTATGCGATGCATATTATGTTGAAATATTATTTACAGCAGATAAGTTTAGTTGTATAAACTTGTTTTATGCATTTTTCGTGTGGCGCATTGTAATCAATTACAATTATTATAATATTATATTATTTAAAAATTTATGCGTATCGATGTTTACCCTAATTATGTATTTTAACTATTCGTCGCGTCGCCGGTCACCGGTGGCCCCCACGGCGCTGTAGCCAAGTCGAGTGCCGGTCACCGGTGACCCCCACGGCAGCCAACGTGTTAATCGGAGTTACTGTATCTCCGTGTGGTAGCGTCGCCTATCATCATAAGTCCAGCAGTCGGTAAAGTAGAAGCAGTGTAATTGCGCCTTTCTAATTCGTAATACGCGTGCCGAGCCCGGCGGAGATTTCAGGATCGTGTCGCGTACTCACCGAGCCGCCTTGTACTGCACCTAGCGGCTGTCACTGATCAGGATCGTTCTCTGAATTGCTGAGTACCCCAAAGAATCCTGCGGGCAGGTGGAGGACCAGGGTCACTTCGCACACAGATCGACAAACCCGGAGACGACCAGGATCACAGCCCACTCAACATTGAAGTTTCGAGGGACGTCCATGTTCGATGTCCTATAGTCGTCTTTCCCCGTCAAGGAAGGGTTTCGTCGAGCTTGAGTGGCGTGGAGGCGCTCCAAGGATGTCGGCGACTCCCCTAGTCGTCGAGAACGACGCAACTACGATAGAATTGGAATCGGAATCGGTCTAGAGCCAGCGGCCATCCGTAAGAGGGCCTTGCCGAATGTTTTTCGGCGACTCCCGTCGCCGCCGAAAATCGCGAAAGGTTATTGTCGAGCGAGCAACTACAGCGAGCGAGCGATTGTGTACAAACGAATAAACCGGGACGCATATTGTGACAACGGTAGAGGAGCCACGGAGTAGAGGTGGCGGAAATTGGATACCCGAGGATCGCGAGCAACGGTAAGTCGTACTCAGTGATTTTTCGCTAATTTTCACGAGATTATGTCAAGGTTATTTGGTTATGTCAAGTTTCGGAAGTGAGCGCGAGAAACGAATTATTAGGTTATGTAATAAGTCTGTGTTCACGGCCCTCTGATATTTAGGAAAAGACAAGGGAAATTACACGTGGGACTATTTCTATGTAACCTAGCTTAAATGAAAGCTGGAAGTGTCTATTTCAAGACAGGATAGATTAGATAACAATAGAATGTCGAGATCATTTTGAAAAATTGATAGGAGTCGACCTTTGACATCATGGGGTTTACAAGATTTGGAAGGAAAAGTTCAGATGGATTTTAGGACACGTTCCTGTAAAGCTATTTCTACGGAAAGTTGGTAGTGTCTACTTTAAGAGCGTGTAGATTAGGCTAAAATTATATGGTAAGTCCATTCGCGTCGAACGGACTATATTTTCTTATAAAAAAACGCGAACAGACTTATTACACAACCTAATAGATTTCGAATAACTCGAGGAGTTTTGCGAGCGTCGGAAAATTGCCTCGGGAACTTTGCATCGCAGAAAGAAGCGTAGCGATCGCCGATATCATATTACACCATTTCGCGACCATTCTACCATATTTGAATGACGAAGGTCTCGGGAATCCTTGCAGTGTCGGCGATTGCGTTGTCGCGAGCTTCCGTCGACCGTTATCGTGCTCTTGTTTACTTTTGTATCATCGCGGGCCGAACACACCGAATTGCGTTTCGCTCTGCCAGCGAACTTGAAGGTCAAATCGTAATTGCGCCGATCACCTGCTGCGTTTTACGGCTCATCATCTTGTGACGAACCATTATCTCAAGTATCGACTTCGCCATACTAAGCCTTAACTAAGGCTTGCCTTAATTTTTTATAGGAAAACATAATAATTTGATTTGTATTCAAAACATTTCCTTCACAGGTTATTGGAAATGTCTAAAAAATGGTGGTTTATCTTGATAAATGAATCCTGTATTTAGCCTTGCAAATTTTAATTTGAATAATAAATCTGAAAATGTATGCTATTTCGTCAGTTTTAATTTTTGTTTCACTTCGGTATACAGAATGACTCTAAAATATTCATTATTTATGATCCAACAATCTGCAGTGTGTCCGATAACTCTGACGTTGGCAACCGGATACTTGACTGCTCGATTACTATAATTCCTTTAACCATTTTTTATATTCTCTTGAAAAAACATCATAGTCTTTTTGAATATCCATTCCTTGAATAGAGAATAACACCAATATGCAGTTTCGAAATCTAGCTTATTTTTCTGGCTACCATCACACTCAACCTGCCAATATTTATTTAATTAATAAAAAGTATTAATTAAGATGCATGACCATATAATTAACTAACGATACTTTTGAATCTTCACACTGTTACATCAATTCACTGCGGATATCACGCATTTCTAACAAAAATGAACAGCTGAAATACATCATTTTCGACTCGTTCAAATTGTTAAACAACCTATTACGTATTCATGTAGGATCGGGTTTTTAAGTAATTAACTCCCGCAATATCACAATACCTTGATAACGAAAAAAAAGCAACTTTATTAATAGATTAAAATGTGAGAAAAGATATAGGTACAAAAAAAACGAAATACAATGATTCGCTCTTTACCGCAGTTACGACCGATCACAACTGAGGATCGCTTCGGCGATCCTCTCTGCGTTACCGCCGATCGCTTTCTTTTGTTTTTCTCTCATCGCGCGCGACGCTGAGCCATCCACCGACTCACCGCGCTCGCGCGGCATCCTACATTCGTATAACTTTTGATTATTCGCAAGTGGATGAGAAAATGTTTATTTTGCATAAAAATCCACAGTCTATTTATCACCGACATTACTTAATCCATTAAGGCTTTATCAACTGTAATAATTTCTTAGAAGGGGAACAGGGAAATATTTATCGTGCGCTTACATTTACATGAATATTTAGATACTGCCGACGAAAGAACAGAATTTTATTCCGACTTAAAACAATGGAATAACATTCATACCTAACAGTGTATTATACATTATTATTACTACTGTTACTGTTAATATTATTACTATTTTTGTTATTATTACTATTACCATTACTATTTCTATTATTATTATTATTATTATTAGTGCTATTACTATTAATATTATTACTATTATTACTATTACTATTACCATTACTATTTCTATTATTATTATTATTATTAGTGCTATTACTACTAATATTATTACTATTATTACTATTACTATTAATATTTTTACTATTAAATGCAACAGAGTGTAAATAAACAGGTGAAAGTTTAAAAAGAGGTGAACATCACAAAAAAGAAAGTACTGATCTTGTCTACTGATTGGATAATCGAAGACTGTATTTGCATATATCTGGCAGAACAATTTCTTTGAGCGATTGTTCCTCTCTGCAGAACTTCCATAACTCCTCAAACAGCGGTCGTAATTACAGCCGAGCGTTATAACGTCTCGTGCCGCTTTCCGCCGAGTCCCAGCGGTAAGTTAGCCAGCGTTTGTTAACTGTGTTACACCGGGAACTCCCGTGGCGTCTAGTACGTCAGGCTTTCAGCTTGCAAGAGTTTTTATCGCGTTTAAAGCCGGGACGCGGATAAATACGCCGAAACAAACCCCGATATACGCAAGTAGAAAAAGCATAAACTCAGGGATGGCGTGGGGGCGGTGAACGCGCGTGCTGCAGGCCCGGCCCGGCGAGGCGAGGCGAGGCGAGGCGAGGCGTTTCACGCCGCAAGAATCAAAAGCACCTGCGTGCAAATTACGAGGCGACTGGTATATCGCGATATCAGGTCAGAAATACGAGGCGACACGTAAATCGCGCGTTTAATATGTAAACGACCCCATCGATCAGAAAAATTGAGGCGCGTTAGCCCGAGCCCCGATAATATATCAGATTGCCGGATATCACTTCTGCCTGAGAATGATCATTCGTTTCCCTCTGGAACTTTTTTGACCGATTATATTATAATCTTTATGACGGGTCCGGCGTGGCATATCGCGTACAGTTATTGGCAGCGTGTAAATCAAAGGGAGAAGTTGATCGTGACGCCGCGCCGCCGCAACGCGACGCCGTGCCGGCTTTTGCGGAATTCTTCTAATAAAATATGGCTTTTGATCCTCTGTTTAATAACCTTAATATATTATTATTATCCGCCACCGATGTAGCTGATGCTGCCATCAGTTCTTTTCATCGGGGATCTGTGTTACGTTGATCGCTTATTTGGAACTTATGTTGATCGAAGGAAAATTGGGAGCAAATTATCTTTGTCGCTTCGTTGGTCTACAGAAGAAGTAAGCAAATTATTTTTGTCTATTTGCTAAGCTAATAGAGAAGTATGCATATCATTTTTGTTGCTCTGTTACACTAAAATGGCAGTAAGCAAATTATTTCTGTCGGCTTGTTCAACGAAGAAAGAAGTAAGAAAATTATTTTCGTCGTTTTGATAAACTAAGAAAGAAGCAAGCAAATTATTTTTGTCGCTTTGCTAAACCAAGAAAGAAACAAGAAAATTAGTTTTGTCGCTTTGCTAAACTAAGAAAGAGGAGAACAAATTATTTTTGTTAATCTGAGATAGAGAAATAAGCAAATTATTTTTGTTCTGATTTTTGTTTGTAATCTCAACATACCCTGGCCCCAAAACAGAGCACCGTTCACTGAGGATTTTTTTTAAAGAATTTACCGTCTAGGTTACCGTAAATGTTACGATTGTATCACAATCCAATAATAGCGGGGAGATGTTTGAAATTAAAATGATTCTGCCACAGCCCATTGAGAAGACTCTGGATCCCTTTATGCAGCTAACGGATTAACCACCATGAAATAATGAACAGTATTACCATTCTTGGCATTTCAGGATTGTTAAACTGCAGTAGCCAGCTCGAGCGTAAAATAATTCTGCAATCGACTAAATGAGAAGCTATCGAAATCATTTCTAACCTCGGCAAGTCAACAATTACAAAAGATTGCGCGTTGTACACTCGTATTTTGAACAAACAATTTTTGATGTGTCAAGATCCAACGTCCTAAATTTCCAATGCAGACGCAGATAAACAAAGGAAACCAATGCAACAAGAAAAGGAATTGCGAAAGGCGATATTTAGTGTTTTCTCCGCGATTTCGACTAACTTCAATGCCATTTCTTCCTCTTCCAGTTATCTAACTACTTCTCAAGACGAATTACGTACATTATTTAATTGAGTTCTAAAGCAATTATTCTCTTGAAATAGTGTCCGAATATTAATTCGGAAAATTCAAGACCAGATTCTCGTGAGAATTCAAAGAGAAACCAACAAGAGAAAGAAAGTGTTGACGGCAATCCTGTAAGAACCGTGGAAAGCTACGCGACGCGTAAGAGAGCCAGAATTAATCCATTTCGCTCAACTTTTTTATTCGTGGACGAGCGAACGGATTACGGGAACACGTCCGACGTGTTCGTTCGAGTCCGAGACACATTTCAAACCTCGTTACACGGGTACTTTCGAATGGATTTCACCGATTTCTGCCTGTAATGCGCGATCGGTTAATGCGCGCGGATTTTACGCCTTTCGTGTAAGTATTATTTCTTTCATTCCCAGAATTGTTGTTAATATTTTACGGTCTGCGTAAAAAGTGTTCGTACATTATTTAAAATTGACTAACTTCTTTAGAATTGGGCCAAGCGATCTAAATCTTTTTGGGATGTTAGAGGGATCATCAGTTGACCAGACAGTGACTGAGAAATTGTTTTCAAAAATGACGATTAGTTGGTAAAAGTGATGAAGAAATTAGAATATGATGTTTTTTTCCAATTTTTTTGTATCTGAGCCTGCAACGAAAATTTATAAAAATGCAGAGTCGCAGAGGCTATGTTTCATTGTTCGCAGCTCGTAACGACGTCAAACGATATCGATAATGTTGTTCAGGTAAAAACAATGTCAAAAATGCGAGCTTCTTATTTGCTCTTTCATTGCCTGTTAAACTAGTCTC